TGATAAAAATCTTCACTGGAATGGTCCAGTGACATTCGATCACTGGAAGCTATTATGCTTCCAATTCCATCCAGTTATCTTCCAGTTCCAGTAATTCCCACTGGAACGTTCCAGTGAACAACACTGTTCATATTATGTGGCTGCATTAAAAAAGGCATTATTGTTGTAGATGCTCATAACAGAAATTTTATCTTTATCATCGTGCGATATTATAAATGATTACAATTCTCGTTTAATCTACATGTTATTAAACTGATAACCAAATGACACAACAGTGAAGCCATTATTAAACAAAGATATTGTTACAATATAAAAACACATGATAGTACAAGCGTGTCAATTAAATTTTCATATTGTAATAATATCTTTGCCGTAAATGATGGCTTTACAGTATTTAGGCCACTATAAAAATTAGATAGTCTTTTATAGGTAAATAACATATTAGCATAATTTTTGAATAATTAAATAGTAAATGAAATTAACTATTTACCGTTGTTCCCGTTTCACGTAATGATATTATCGCTGATTCTCTACACAAGTTCTTTAAATCTGCACCTGTATATAATTCTGCCTTTTAAGTTCAAATAATATTTAATTTATATTGTAAAAAATTTTTTTTAGATAATGTCGTTCGTTATAATCGAGTTTACCTGCTTGGCAATCAAATTTAAATCAAAATCATCATTTAAAGGCATATTTAAAAGCTGTTAATTAAAATGAAACATACATATATTAACTTATCGAATCTACCAGGTCTTAAAAGAGCTGCATCAAGTCTGTTTGTTGCATCCTTAAATTGTTAAATATCCTTGTATTGATTACTAATTGCAAAAATATACGGCAAGCATACCAATAAAAATAAACTTACCACGACAAGTACTGATGCGGCAACTTCAATACCATCCATTTCATTCAATAAACACGTTCCTGAACGCTGTTATTATTACCACTACTTCCCAATGATCTTTTACAAACAATCACATCAATTTCGTCAAAAAATATTATAGAAGGGGACGTAGAACGTGCGCGTTAAAATGTTGTTCGAACTATTGTATATGACATTAAATTTAAACAATGCATTTTATTGATTCGTGGAAATTCAATGTCAATTTACTAATTTGCTCTGAGTCGCCCACATAAGGAGAATATAATTGATAGAGAGAAAAGTGATACCAGACGTTGAAGTTATTACCTAAAATTATATATGACATACAAATTATAGAAATAAATATATCATTACTTGAAATATTATCAATTCCCTACCTTAGCCAGAGTCGTTTTACTACAGCCAGGTGGACCATACAATAGTATTCCATTTGGTGGTTTTAAACCTAATCTTTCAAATGTATGACGATATTTTATGGGCCATTCGACCGCCTGCCTTAATTTCTATTCAAAGCGTTAAATTCATACTGTTATTAACTAAATAAAGACGTGATATACTTTAGTACTTAATATCAACCTTTTTTACATCCTCTAAACTTCCAATGTCATCCCAACTTATCTTTCCGACATTAACATGATATCTGCGTCGTAGGGATGGTACGATACGCAACATTGCTACTGCATCGTTATTAGAAAGTTGCCGCATGGAATATTTATCAAAATTGATTTTTTGGATATGCATATACGCTAGTAACTAATGAATGCCACATGATACTGTATACTCTTTTTTTGAGTCACTGCACACGCGCTAGTATGATTAAATTTGAAATGTAATCAGTGACCACTATGTATATAAGTTTTTTCGCTCTCACATTTTTGCTGATAGTGATTATTATTTCATCAACTCAGTAAAAAAATCCTACAAAGAAAAATGAAAAATACTAGAAATCCATTAAATAGACATGTAAATTTGCATCGAGCCGCTGATATTTATGTATAAAAAGCATGGTTTTACGATCATTTGTTATAGCATTTGTAATTGCACTTATGCATATAATCATATTTATTTCTTTTAAAGAGCGGATAAAGATTTTAATGCGAATTCAAATCGTGTGCAAGCCGGGCTTATGCCTATGCCTAGCAAAAAGTATAGGCATAAATCTTAGGCATGGGCATACAAGTTTTTATTGGTCAGTGATTTCTATTGAAGTACTGTTACACGATTTTTTTTTATATACAGTATATATAATAGAATATAAAATTTTTGTTATTGCTTAAAATTTTTAGAGGTTACTTGTCAAAAGCATGATTTCTACTGTATATAATCGTTGGAAATCGCACCTTCCACCATCTTTTACTAGAAGGGACCTGAACAAAACCATTGTGTTGTATAAAGTTACAGTATTACATTAATTACTTAGTATTTCTTTGAGTTAAAGGTTTTAACTTTCACATGAGCAATATATAATGCGACAAGATAATAACAACATTAACCTGACAACATTAACGTTAATCTATTTTATAAAAGAAAGTTAGGAATTGCTTAAATTTATTGTCGCAGCTGATGCTGAAATTTTGGGGTCTATATTTAGAACTATAAAACCTACTAAAACCCATCTATACACTTTAATTAATAAAACCTAACCCTAAACTCTACTCAAACTATTATATGAAGACTAAAAAAATGTACCCAAAAAATTTACAATAAAATAATCAAAATTTCAGCATCAGCTGCGACATTTATTTTGCATAAGCCATCGATATTATTGGTTAAATGTCATGTGATTTGTTATGATTTCAGACGTGATCGTGATTAATTCAAGGTGACCATATTTTCGGAATAGTTCTAAAATTGTCCGTTCGAAAGTCCTAAAGTCCGAATATGCCACAATAAGAGGCAAACACAAGATTTAGCCCTTAAAATTGTTAATTATGTTGAACTGGATCTTTTTTAATATTAGGCTGAAAATCGGATATTGGACATGAAACAAAGTACTGTAGATTTTTGCGGGATAAATTTGATTAAAGTAAAATTAAAACAACCAGTGAATTTGGCATTAATAAATTTGAAATCTTTACAGAAACTTAAATATTTTAATACGCAGTAACTACATATTAACTACATAATTACTATTAAATTTAATAGAAACTACATAGTTACTATTCAGTTACGTATTAAGGGATTCAAAGTTCCTGTATAGATGATAAAATTAAAAATCCGCGCAAGTGATATGTAAATGTATGCTACTCATGCGACATCTCTATATTGTTTTTTCGATTGTCAATTTATTAGCAGTTTTCTAAAATATTTAAAATTTAATTATAATGAACAAGTTTCAAATTGTAATATTAGAATAGTAAATCCATCAATTGTCAAAGCCTAGAATATTATAAGAAATTTATGCTTATCACCGTTACAGTATTAAACTTTCTAATGAAATAAATTTATACTGTACCAGTTGTTGTATTTATTTACATTCATTATTTAACATAATGATTACACTAAAGTTATTATTTAACTTGTAAAAACATTCAGCCATTAATACGCACCAGCCTGACACACATTTTCCGGAAGTAGTTACTACCCTTGACCTAAAAAAACATTCTCACACCTAACCTATACTATACATTCATATTTGATAACAGTATTAATAGCTTTGCCTACACGCTTTTCAACTTCATACTGTTTAACGTTATCTGGTTTATCAAAATTATGAATAGTATATCTATTTTTTTCCGGAATCATAGCAAAAATTTTTTTATCTTTATGATAAATTTCATATTTTTTAGGATGATTAATCATAAAAAAATTAGTTCTAAAAAATGGACTTTTGTTTTTAACATTATTATTTTCATTAATTTCTTTACATTTAATATCAAAAGGAACGTCACATTCTTCTGGTGGATCACCGTCAATGAAAAATAAACGAGCTTGAGTATCTTCATCCTGAAATTTTTCAACTTTAATCAGAAATGTTACGCCTTGAAAACCTTGAACATTTCTATCTTTATTTTCATCGCTAAAACTCAAAACTCCTGCGATAGTTCCTGTAGTTGCCATACTAAAAAAAAAATGTATAAAATAATAATAATAATAATAAATTATATTAATATATATTGTATATAATTTTTAAAATATTTCAAAAATATTTAATTCATGTTCACCTTGTTTAAAAAAAATAAAAATTTCAACGAAAAGATAAATTAAAATTCCATATCGATGGCTATTTTGTTTATTTATTTTATCGGAGTAACGGAGATTTGGATATCTACATAAAATTACGTTTTTGATGCAATTTGACCATAAATAGTGTTATTTTATTTAATAACCAAATTAAATAATAAAAAAAGGAACTATTACGTTTGACACTATATATAGTACCCTTAGATAAGAACTTGCAATTTTTTTAAATTAAATAGCACCGTGGGTATGTTGTATGAAATGTGAAAAAAAAATCAATATAGTTATACCCTTGAGTATTATTCAAAAATAGATAGGGTAGTGAATAATCACAAACCTGGTATTTCTCTAAAATGTAGCGTTATATAAATTTAATTAATTGTTTCTTGACCCCGGTTGAGTCAACTTTTACAAAATTTTTAAGAAAAATTTTTAACTACGTTTACGTACTAGCTGGGTGATTTTTTTTAGAAATTTATAAAAAATTTTATAACCAATTAAATTCATTTTGTCTGCCTTATATAAGCTTATATATAAACAATTTTAACCAATTAAATTTATATGTTTCTTTTATACATAAATTTTGTTCAATTAAAAGCCGAGTTGTTAGGTCGTTTTTAAAACTTTTGCATATGACTATATATACAGTACCAAGCGAAATTAGTGAGAGTTGTCAATCTCTTAAGAAATCTAAACTTTTCTAATAATAATAAAAAAAAAAAGTTGCTTTGATAAGTATTTGAAATAGGCAAGAATGAATTCAAAACGATGATATAGAGAAAATTTTAGTAAAGTATATATAATGTAATTGTTTCTTTTGCGAGTACAAATAATGTAACAAGTAATATGATCAAATGATTTTCAGAATAGTCAATACAAAATTGCGAATATTATTTTGCAAGGATTAATAATTGAAGGTAAAAAACTATTAGTAAAAAATTTTAAAGATTTGAATGTTTATTGAGCTTTAGAACATCAAAAATATACATTATTATACAGTATTATATAAACACAATTTTAGGTTTATATTAAATTCATATATATTAAATTAATATAAAATTTATATAAACTTTATATACTGCATTTAATTAAAAATGGCAAAATAATAAAATTAAATATTTTTATATTTATTTAAAAATTTACAACTGAAAGATGGTATTTTGTAAAGATCACCACTAAAATTTGTATTAAAAAAATTTTTTATAATAAACTAGTTATTAGATGTAACATTAAAAAGATTCAAATAACTTGTTTGAATACAATTATTGTACAATATATCTAGCTTTCTTTTTCTAATTATTTTATACTATAAGTTTGATATTCCAGTCTATTAATAAGTACTAAATTAATACAATTAATATAATATTAATTATACAGTAATTCTATATAACTAATTAGTGTTTTAGATTAATCTGATTTTCATTCTGCGGAATATACTGTATCATACTAATAAAATATTTCTAGAAATTACTTTTTATTATTAAAACCTTTCGGACTTTGAAAAACGTACGTACGTACGTACGCAGTTTAAATGGAATTCAAATATTCAAATTTTGATTTCACGGGCATGCACGTCCATTAAATCATGAGATAAATCTTAAATAGGAAGTTAGAATAGTAGAGCGTGTGCCGTAATTTTGACCTGTGGGAGTTTTATGGTTGTGTTACCCTGACTAAATCCTGAAATCTATGAATTTCTTGATTTGTAAGTTTTCTATCAAAAATGTAGATTGTTTGTATAATGATGCATGTATATTTATGATCAATCTTTTTCTTACTACGCTAGATGATCCATTTATGGAATGAATAGACAGTTCTGACTTAAAGATGAAATTGAAAATTTGTAAAAATTTTTAAGATAATAATAATAAATGACTTACTATGAACTTTGACAGATTACATATTCAATTAAATAACCGGTAGATTACGCATTACTTTCGAAAAAAAAATCTCTAGTCATTTGGTCGGATAATACCGATACGTATCTTTATTATTTTGAATGGTATGCACAATAACTTGCTTACCAATTCTGGCTAGAAGGTTGCATATTTTTAACGTTAAATTACAGTCAGACAATGAATTATTTTTCCAGAAAATGATTAACCTATGATCTTACGGATCATTTTGATTGTTTACTTTGTTTGCTTTTTACTTTGTCATTCAAAATAACCTGTATTTTTTAATTATAAATTAAAACAAAGCTTCCGAAAAATCTTACAAGGGAGGAGACAAACCGATTAATGTTATAAAGATAGTGTTTTAAAAAAGAATAACATTTTTGACTTACATAACAGAATAATTACATGAATTATTTGTTAATCTTTTTGTTCTCTTTATTCTATCACTAAAATGGAGTGTAAATTAAAAATATACCCACATATTGTATTTTACATAGTTACAATACGTCATATAAACCTTTCATTATATCATTGTTCGTATTGTTATTAGGTAATTTTTTATTACCATCTTTGGTCATTGGCGTGAGTCACATGATATAATACAATCATTTGAACAATAATTTATTATTGTATTCAATTCTTTTTTCGCTTAAATTCTTATCAAAGAAACTTTTCCTTCTCACTAATTCCTAACAAAATGCAAGATAAACTGCTGTCCCTTTTATCCAAACAATATAATGATCTTTTTAAATCTGGTGAATTTTTTGATGTGAATATTGAAGTAGGCGAAGGATCAAATACGAAGGAATTTCAAGCTCATTCTCTTGTTTTAAGAATTCGTTCTCCTTATTTTCAAGCTGCTCTATCAAATGGATGGGTGAAAAGCAAGAATGGTGTGATGGTTTTGAAGAAACCTAATATCTCACCAGAAGTTTTTGAGGTTCTTCTCTGGTATGTTAAAGAACAATACTTAAAATTTCTGTATTATTAAAGAATAAATTAATATAAAAATAACGATTATATTTATTATTATTTTATTTTTTCAGTTATGTTTACAGTGGAACTATTGACCTTGTCAGAACGGACCCGAGAATTCTTATCGAATTACTCCCAGCGGCTGATGAATTATTCCTTACAGAGTTATGCGACCATCTTGAAGAACATCTTATCGATTACAATGTCAGATCTTCGATAAAACAGAATTTTGTCCTTTCACATCGCATAGCGAGGCAAAATCGGTTTGAAAAATTTACAGCATTATGTGAAAGAATTCTCGCTCAAGATCCCGGCGCATTATTCAACGCTAAAGATTTTGCTGACATAGAACAAGATGTTTTATTATCCATTTATCGAGATTGTGACTCTAAATTTAGAGAAATAGATTTATGGAATAAACTATTAGAATGGTCAATCGTTAATTCTCCATCATTACCTTCAGAAATATCACAATGGACGACGGATGATGTCTCAACTTTTGGTACTTTGGCAAAACCTTTTATTCAGTATATTAATCTTATTTACATATCTCCAGACGATTTTTTTCATAAAATTAGACCTTTTCGAAAAATTTTTGACGTAGAATATTATATACAAATCTTGGAATATCATACGTTTACGCAACTTAGAGAAAACACACTTTTCAATAAACCTATTCAACCGAATTTGGACTCAAAGATAATTTCTGAGCAACATATTACTTTAATCTCTAAATGGATTAATTCGTTCAAAGTTGATGATAATTCTTCTAATAATTCACCACAACCAACTTATCAATTTAAATTATTATTACGAGGAAGTCGGGATGGTTTCACACCAAAAATGTTTCATGCTTATTGTGATCATAAAGGTCCTACCGTTACCATTGTTTACACCAAAAAAAAGAAAATTATTGGAGGCTATAATCCTTTAGATTGGCATTCAAGATTTATCGGACACTCAATGGACAATTATGAAAGAACTAATGAAAGTTTTATTTTTTCTTTAGACCCAAAACTTGCCAATAATTCTATTGTCAGTAAGATTGTTGATGAAAAATATGCTATTTATCAACGTATTTATGCTGGTCCTTGTTTTGGTAATGGTGGTGATTTAATAATTAAAGAGAAAGCTGGTTTCTGTTATAAAAATAGTTATGAAAAATGTATTATACAAGATGGTGAAAGTAATGAATTTTTGATTGATGATTATGAGGTTTTTCAAGTAATTGAAAATTAACCGTATATACTACTTGTATAATGTATAGTGTAGAAAAAAATAATAGAAAATACAACGTAATATTAATATTAAAAAAAAACAATGTACGTTTTTACTTTCTAGAATTTAAAAAAAAAATAAAAAATAAAAATATAAATATTTCTTTACAAATTAATTTATATTTGATCTCGGGAATTTTGCAGCATTATAAATCATATACAAACTTTAGGGATACCAAATTATTGCATTCGCCAGTCTTGTAAGGGGGTCTATTATTAAGGAGGTTTTTACGTGGAAATATATCGATATAAGGGTCGTCAAGGGATAACCAGAGTTTGGCTTTCAAGTTTATAACTTAACGGGACTTATTATGTGTAATTAAATTCATTACAGCATTAAGTAATGAAAAACTTTATTTTAACTTCTGAAGCATGCATAAGCATGCAATTTACAGCAAGTTCTACGTACTTTCTTATTACATATCAGATATTATAAAAATCTTAACATGAATAAATGATCTTGAAAAATTAAACTATTTTTTTTACCAATGTTTCTTTTTCTGCTATTATGCTCTTATCGTTATGTTTACTATCTCTTTCTTAATTTTTTTGCGAGAAAAATACATCTGGCATCATTTGTAAAAATAGGTAAATTCCTCTCAAAAGGTTTAACTTGTTTATGTAATGGCTTGTTCTGATACTTTAAGTTTCTACTGCATTATCAGTACATAGAAGCACGCGTAGTTTATTTACCTGGTAAATTACTGATGCGTTTGGTAATTTTAAATTATATACCAAACATAATCAGTAATTTACTAATTTACTAGGGATGTTAAAAGTTCGGTTCGAGTCGGTCTTTTGAGTTGACTTGAACCGAACTTTTTTGAGTCGACTCTAGACTTGAGGAACCTTTTAGGACCGAGTTCCAATGGTCATGTGCAGCGTTATACACAAATAACTCCCGTTATAGTAAGTGAGGCTAAACCTACTAATTGCATTAGTTTTAAGAAATACCGAAACAATTATCCCCATTAGCCAAAAACAAGCAAAATCGTAAGTTTATTTAAAAATTCCTTAATGCTACCGCAACGCAATTTTCATTCTTAAAATACGTGAACTTCAAGGACACCATCCTTGCCTAATAGTCTTCAATGACGAGCAAAATTGGTTCAGCCCTCTCATAACCATTATACCTTTCACCAGTAACACCGACAAGATTTACACTTTTCAAGTACCAACTAAGCTAAAAGGAAGAAATAACGTAATTCTTATAGACCAAATTCGTACTCTTGACCGGAAAAGGTTCAGAGAAAAAATAGGAGCAGCCAGAATTGAATTAATGGAGGAAGTAGAAAAGCCTTACATATCACTTTGGCTTTGAAAAGATAAAGACAACTTGCAAAAAACCCAAACTTAATAAAAAAACCTAAGAACAAAAGAGTAAAGAAACCCATTGAAGGCCTCTCATGGTCCAGATTTAGCCGGATGGTTGACTGGGAAATAGCACTAGTTTTTTAAACTAGCCTAATCCGGGCAATGTTTAACTAGTGATTGTTGTGGAGGATTGGGGCAGCTTGCTGGTCTCGAATTTGCTGTAATTTATTTAATTGTTCCTCTGAATTAGTAAGTTCAATTTGCTTGCTTAGTAAAGTCTTTAATTCTTCGCTAGTTAATTTACTTTGTAATATATCTCGAAAAGCTTCTAATTGATCCTGGGCAAAGGAGTCATTTCCTTTTTTTCGTTTAATTATTGAAGCTTGAGTTCGCAGAAGCAGGCTAACTATTGCTTCCAAATTGTCTCCTGCCTTATTTTTAGCAATTTGTGCTAATTCTTCTAACTCGGCCTTTTTATTTTGAAATTGAGGAGTTAACACATCCAATCTTAACCTTACTATTTCTTGCTTTAGTTGACCAAAGTTACCAAACTCGCTATCGGGCAAAACAATATCGGTTATTTCTTTTAATTATTATTGATTTTTTCTTTAAGAGTTTGGATTTCTTGCTTAGTTTTTTCCAAAAAGGTAAAAATTTTAACTCCATGAACTTTATAGTGAGTTAAATTAGAGCAATCACTCACATCTATTTCAATAATCATCTTAGCAGCATTTTCGCTGGTAATAAATTCTTCCAAATTTATAAATTCTCGTAAATCTAATTTTCCTTTTGTTAGATTATTCGCTTTTTGCTTTTTGTTAATAAATATTGAAGAGCAATGTATATCAATAGATTTTACTTGTTCTTTAGTTTGTTTGCTAGGATAATTCTGGTCTAAGAATTCTTGTGCAGTTGTCATAATAATTTCTTTAGTTTGTTTGCTAGGATAATTCTGGTCTAAGAATTCTGTCATAATAATTTCTTTTTAATAGTTTTTTAATTTTTTTGAGAAAAAAACGATAAAGAAAATTGTTTATATTTCTTAAATAAAGATTAACTTTAAAATTCTATAAATGAAAAGTGAACCAAGTTTACTTGATCGAGAAACGAACCAACTGTCCCAATTGCCAAAGTCCCTTAAAATCCCGTTGGCTAACCTAAGCCGAGCAAGAAAAATTAACTTTTGATATTCCTGAATATTCCTGACCTAGAATTTAAAAATGGTTCGCAATTATCCCAAGTAGAAGTTTATTTTTGCCATAAATGTAGTTGACAAGATCTTAGTTTACTAGTCAAAACTGAATATGAAAATATTTTCGCCAATGAAGAAAGGCAAAAATATCAAAAAGAAAGAGGCTTGGTAGAATGCTATTTTATTGCCTAAATCAATTAAAAGGGCTAATTGATTAACTTAATATATAAGTTGAATACCGGAATACTATTTGGTAATATCATGTGACCAAATATCACATGAAATAACAAGTCGGTCCCGAGTCTGACTCGCAAATTTAAAACTCGACTTTTGGAGTCGAGTCGGACCGAACCGAACTTGTAACATCCCTAAGGATGTTCGATGCTCGATCATCAATTTATTTAATACGTATCAAATGTTTTGATCACTTTTTCTTATATATTAAATAAATAAATAATAAAATTTTAACCATAAATCTTTAAACTAGTTTCTCGTGACACGTTCTTTAGTTTTTTTAATTTTCACATTGATATTTGAATCTTTGCAATTGTTAGAGAGCATAAGAGGTTCAAATAATTTTTTTTTTATGTTCATCTTCATTTTTTTTTTGAAGAAAAATCAAATTTTTAGTATATATATATATATATATATTTTTAGACAAATTATGCAATTCTGGTTTTTTCGCGTTTTCCACTTTTTACCTTACCTCGTAGACTAATAATCTATCTCCAAATCGGGCTAATAAATTTTGAATTTTTCCTCGCTGATACTACGGTTCAAAACTTTTTCACTTCAAGCTACTTTACATCAGTTACTGCGCATTAAGAGATTTAAGTTTCTGTATAGAATGTTACAGCCTGCAGTTTCGTTTATTTTTTTCGTTCGAAAATGCTTATTATTATAGTTGAAGTAATGAGGAGATATAAAAAGGTTCAATTTATCTTGTGAAAAGATATGCCATCCTAACTTATCTTTTTATATGTTTACTCACCTCTTTTGATCCATAAAGAAGGATCATAGGAATGGGCCAGACTCATTTCTGGAAAAGTTTGAAGGATTGCTTTCGTCCATTTGAGTGGCGTGCATAAGATTATATATGATTTAAGGATTATTGTTTTTTTTCCGTCCTTCAGACTTTCAAAAAAATTTTAACAGCAATTGATGTCTCCTCAAAGCTTTCATCTGTGGATGTTCTAAAAAGGCTGATCACAAGCTTTGCGCAGTATAGTTGCACAATAGAAAGAAATACATTGGATCTAGCAGTAACACAATAGATTTGGAACTTGCTAAAAAAGAATTTTGGAAAAATGTAAACATAACATTACCCGCACCAAATTCTCTTTTTGACAAACCAGAAAATGAAGCCATCAAAGTTCAAAAACAATATACTTGCAACTTACTTTATTCATAATACTTTCTATGAGTCAAAGCACGAAATTGGCCTTGATTATATCAAGAGGATCCAATGCCTTATATTAGAAGATGTATACCTATGGAGGGTTGAATTAAATGATTACAAACTCATAGAAAAGTTTTTAAGATCGAAGTAGAAGTATGTGTTTCAATCTATACCATTTATCCAGTAAGCTCTAGTTATTATTGCTTTGTGATTCATTTGTTAAGATTTGGTTATGTATTTATATTTCTGTAGCTTTCATCGGAAGTTCCTGTATTGATGAAAAGGTTTATACAATTTCAGGACGAAATAAAGACCCTTTGGATCTTAAATCTGAGTGATGAATTCTCTTAATGAGATATGTGAATAATTTGAAGAAAAAAAAACTGTGAAATAATCACTTTAAACTTCGAGAGCAAAAATAGTGGTCTTCATTCTCTCATAATCACTAGTCGTATACTTTTAACTTTCCTTCACATTCATCCATTTGTAGATAGTATAAGTATGATAGTTGTTCAATTATGGCTGGCTTACATCTTATCCGCAATGACTTTCCACCTGCTACTTTTCAAAACATTCTGCAAATATAATATATATCTGCATTATTTTTAGCACAAACAAAAAAAAGATTCGATTTCGCTATATGCTTTGATTGGTGCAAAAATCTTTTATCCTTTAATGAGATATCAAGTATAAATTTGTATATAGCTTGACCTTTGTGAATGAGACTGATAGAATAAATCATAATCTAATAATAGAATAAATTTTTTATCAGAATATATAAAAAATAGTTTTTTTATCAGAATATATAAAAAATAATTTTTGTCATGTCAATAAATCACCTAACTTTATTAATTCATTAATACTTAATTAACAATATTTGATATTGATTAGATACAGAAAAAGAAATTCGATTAAAAATATTTGATTCTTTATTAAAAAAAAAAAAAATTTAAATACATCGAAGATTCACAATTGTATATTGTGCATAGTGATTATTTAAATTCCAAAATGTGAAAATCCAGTTGCACTAAATTATTTCATGAATCTAAAAACATAAAAAGAATTAATAAAAGAGTTAATTTTAAAGAGTTAATTTTTGATTTATATATTCAACCAATTTATTACCATATTTTCGCGCAATAACGCTCATGCGCGTCCCAAAATAGCACCCATAGTACGGGATGTTTAATTTAGAAATACTTTGGAACTCGATTTAGTATTAAGTAAACCTTCGAACTTCAATAAAGTTGTTTTTCAGAACAACTTTTGTTAAATCTCAAAGGAAGGTTTACTTAGTACTAGGGATGGCAAATGGTTTAAAACACGATCTTAAAAAACTCGATTGTTTGATTTTTAATTGTTTAAAATGTTTTAAAATGTTTTTTAATCAAAATTTACCGGTCAAAGTGCAATAATTTATTTTTAAACTCCGACCAAGTGTCGCGAAAATTTGACTTCCGAATTTGTGTTACCTCAAATTTTCGGGGCTTGATCGGAGTTTTAAACTCCGACTAAGTGTCACTTTAAATTTTAATATCAGCTTCGATGTTTTAAAACTTTTATTAAAACAATTAAAAACATATAAAAAACGTTTTAAAACGTTTTTTTACCATCCCTACTTAGTACTAAATCTAGTTTTGAAGCATTTTGTTTGTTTACTTTTTATACAAGAATTACTTAAAATATTCAAATGTCTCAAAATAACGCGCAGGTGAGCTTTATACGCGAAAATACGGGTACAACGTACAATTCATGCATTCTTCTGATAGATGTTGTGATAATTGTAATAAAAGTTCAACTTTTTGGAAATGTTATGGTATTGCAAAGCACATTCTGGCGATTAATTGCTTTGGCTCAAACTACTAATAACACTTATAAAATTATTTCTAAATATGTGGATAACGAAATTCAGCACGGATTTAGAGCTTTGACTGGTTAAATTTATATGATTCAAAATTTCGAGAACCTTTGGATTTGCCAATTATTCAAATTATGTAATGTGGCCCGAATTATGAAATTTAATTCTTATGCGGTCAAATTTAAAATTTTTATAATCGGGTCGAGTCATTTGAGATAAACCAGGCTGTTACCCGGTTTTGAGTTTGTAATACGGGTTGGTTATCCGGAGAAAAAATTTTATACGAGCCTAATCTCTACTCCAGATTGCTATATTGAATTGGCTAAGCATCAGACTCACTTAAACTGCCTACTGCTTATGCCATTTGGCTTAAACTTTACGGATGGAATGAAAGCATGGAGGTTAGAAAGCAATTTTCAGATGCTGATAAAATAGTCCAAGTATTGCCGATTATCTCACCAAAAACAGCGAATTAATAAATACTCGAAGAATATCAAGTGCAATTAAAGGAATTTATTTTAAAATTTATGCTATATATTTATTCATTTAAAACTAATTACGCTATAATAGCAACTTTACAAAGTAAATCTATCGATTATGTCGAAGTTCCTCTTGGCATGTATTATATTAAGCTTACAGTATTTATAATTAGATTAAATTAATTGCTTGAAAGGTATTACTTATCATTATTAGTTATAATTTATTTAATTTTAATGTAGAGATTAAGCCCGCATAAAATTTCTACTCCGGGTAACCCACCCGTATAACAAATTCTTAACCGGATAACAACCCGGTTAACTCGAATAATCCGGTTAACCCGGTTAAGATATTAAAAAAATTTTGTGTTCCTTATTTTATTATTACAGTTGTTTTCATAAAATTTGCAACAAACTAAAAATTTGTTCGCTTCCCGAAACCTCTTTGGTTTCGTCCTAAAGACACCTAACTCTTCAGAATCATGTCATCGTCTTCGGAACTTCAGTCCGGAGATGAAGAGTTAGATAATCCATAGGACGAAACCGAAGAGATTTCGGGAAACGAGCAAATTTTTTAGTTTGTCCCAAAATCTATGAGAATAGCTGTATTTCCGAAAATCAAATAGTAATTCGGAATTTTTATTTAAGCCCAATTACAAAAAGTCGCAGCAATGAGCTATGTAAAAGGTCAGAACTGGCTGATATAATAGTATACTAGTATAATGCAAATGAATCGGATTATTTCACGACTTAAAAATATTCAAATCATCGTGAATCGCATATAAACCGGGTTGTTTTATTTATTTTCTAATTTCTTATCCGGGTTAACCGGTTAACAAAGTTTCTACCCGGATAAGAGTGCTTATACGGGTTACCCGGGTAATCCTTATCCGGGCCTAATCTCTATTTTAATGTTCTCTAAATGCTTACTTAAAACAATATGCAATCAAAAATATTTAATCTATTTAAGATTAGCTATCTTTGTATATTTCTAACAATTTTAAAAGGTTTATATGTAAATTCAATGTCTAGCATGTTTTCGAATTCT